GCTCCTACTCTCTACACGATGAATAAAGAACAAAGAAAACAAAACGGCACAATCTACGGATTTATTGAAAAACGAAATGAAGGTAACTGTTTTCTTAAAAAAGCATGTGCTCCAGATTGATAAGGAGTAGACCGCCGTTACTGCTTAAAAAAACACTGGATAAGTGAACAAGGGAAGGAAAAGGTTACTGGTTGTGCTTGGGGTATAGCTTTAGTAGACATACGCTCATTCAGAATTACTGTTTTTTTTCTTCTCTGTATATACTTGATGCACCATCTTGCACCATTCCAACATCAGACTTAGAGCAAGTCCAGCGGATTCGCTAAATCACTGATTTCGCTAAATTTAACAGAAAAATTATAGCTAGTTGACACTCCAGCGGACTCGCCAAAATAACTAGTGAAATTAAAGGATAGCTATTGTCGGACACATTGTCTGTCAAAGTTGACAGACTTTGATAGACTCGCTAAAACATTTTCTTGTGATCTTTCTGTTCTTTCCGTCAATCTTTTTATCCTATGCAAAATGAGCAACAACAACAACAACACCCCTCGCGAGTCCCTTCCCTCATCTTTGGAAGCCTCCTCCTCCTCATTACCAGCCACTACTATTAACTCTACTTCCCGTCCCCCTACCACCGGTGGTCATAACTAGACAGAAGACGAGGACGAAGATTTGTGCGCCTCATGGCCCAACGTCTCAGTCAATCCTATCGACGGGAGTGACCAGACTGTCTCGCGTCTATGGGATCGAATCCACTCTGAATTCGGGTCTCGCTGCCAGGATGCCAACAACACTGTCGAGCGCAATGCTGGCGCGTTGATGAACTGTTGGGGTGTCATTCACCCCAAAGTTTCAAAGTTCTGTGCTTGCTTAGCTCAAATCGAAAGAGTAAATGCCAATGGCACGACCCCAGATGACCAGGTAAATTTATAGTAACTAGTACTCTTGAAGTGTTTCTGTTTTTATTGTATGTAATGCTAAATAAAGAAAACATGTCCTTACTATCAATATAATCTTATTTTACCTGAAGATTGCAGCAGCCAAGAGCCTGTACCAGCAGAAGCACGGCAGCAGTGGCTTCAAACTGGAACACTGCTGGAAGGTTCTCCAGTATGCAGAAAAGTGGCACAGCCAGACCGAAAGAAGTAAAAGAAGAAGAAGAAGAAGACCTGCTGCTGCCACTACCAATGGCAGTGATGGCGATGAAAACGACGACGTTGACGATGACGACGATGGCCATAGCCAGCCGATTGGCCGCAAACAGGCTAAGTGCCATGCCACTGACATCAACTAGTGGGAGAAGATGCATGCCAAGTCGTTGGCTATTGAGCGTGAGCAGCTCGCTCTCTCACAAGAACGATCTGCTGCTCTCGCTTAAATAGCTGACCAGGAGATCATAGCAATTCCCATAGACGGCATGGACGACCTCGCCTGTGCCTACTTCATGGCTATGAAGGCTCGGATTTTGGCCCGCATTGTTGGTGAGCAGCAACAACAACAACAACAACAGCAAGAAGAACAGAAAGTAGAAGAAAGCGATGAAGAAGAAGAGTAAGGAGAAGAATAAAGCGATGTCTTTTAAGGAAAAGAAGTTCAGATAGAGGTTAAGAAAACAAAAAACGAAAGGAAGAAAAGGAAAGAGGGAAAAGGAGAGAAAAGGGTGGGGATGGAAGTAGGGTTTATGTATCCTGTTCACCTTCCATTTGCCAAAGATGTTCCATGAGATCATGTCTCAAACGATCATGCGTGTTTACATCCCTAATTTCTTTGTGACGTCGGATGAAATCTTGCAAGATGGATGGATTTTCTCTTGCTTAATCAAAGACTTCTTACGAGTATCTCCATTCATGCAATGTTCGTGAGACATCCGGATCGTTTTCGACTATCATATTATGAAGAATCACATATGTCTCATGATTATGGTGGGTTCTTCCAGCTTCCACAATCGAGCCGGTTCCTTGACAATCTTGTACCGAGCTTGTAGAACACCAAAAGCTCGTTCAATGTCCTTTCGTGCGGCCTCTTGCATTGTTTGAAAAAGCTACATCGCGAATATTCAAATTAATAAGAGAAAGAAGCATGATCTCCACAATATTGTTCACTCATTTTCTTTCCGTATTGATGCTAATGTCTTCATTTTAAATAAATACAAATGATCGTAGATATGCTCCACAAAAAGCAGCCTTCAACTAGCCATTGTCCTTCTATAAAACTATCATTTATTATGAGTAAAAGAATAAGGCCATGCGGGTTCGAAAGGGGCTTGACCAGCGTCGCCCAGCGAGGGTAGATTCCATCGGCCAGATAGTACCCCATGTTGTACTCGTGGCTGTTGATGGAAACATCTACTAGTGGCGCACGTCCAGCAGCAAGATCGGCAAAGAGGTGCGATCGCTCAAGCACATTGATCTCATTCAATGTGCCGGGACACCCAAAAAAGACATGCCAGATCCACAAGTCATGAGTAGCAGCAGCTTCCAATACCACAGTGGGTGCCTTCTCCTTACCAGAATACTGCCTGTGCCATGTGGTGGGGCAGTTTTTCCATCTCCAATGCATACAGTCCACTGAGCCGAGCATGCCTGGAAAGCCACGCTTCTCATTGAAGGCTAAGATCTTGCAGATATCATCCTCGTTTGGCGTGCGCAAGTACTTGTCGCCAAAAGCAGCAATAACTGCAGCGCAGAACCGTTTGAGGCATTCGAGCGCCGTCGACTTGCCCGTGCGCACATACTCGTCGGTTGCATCTGCTGGGACACTATACGCGAGTTGTCTCATTGCTGAAGTAATTTTTTGATACGACGAGAGGCCGAGTTTGTGAGTGGCGTCGCGTTTCTAGACGAAATAATCGTCCTACTACTTCACACCCTCCATCACGTGCAACAGCAGGTCTCGATCCATTCGATACCGGTTTCTGAACATATGTGCCGGATACACCGTATCTTCGGCAAAATAGTGTTTGAACAGATGTGCATCCATTGCAATGCGATCTCGGTGAGTCGTTTGATGGCCAGGGACAGATCCACGATGCTTCTTCTTTGTTGCATACTCCTGTTGGATCATATAGTCGATCTCTTCTATATGACGTTTGAACACAGCGATGCGACGCTGCTCTTCTTCTTCTTCGTCAATAATAAGGTTCATGAGGCATTTCAAGTTAGGCATATTTAATATAAGATAGGAGAGAGAAAGTAGGAAATAAACAAATATGCAGGAACACAAAAAGACAATCACACAATTTAAGTCCGCTATTGCTAGTCGGCAATAATAGCTAGTCCGCTGTAAAAATTGACTCGCCAAAAAGAATAATTGGAATAGCGAGTAGTGAAAAAAAAGGAAAATTTAGCTAGTTCACTGGACTTGCTCTAAGATAATTCTCTTGATAGCCCCTAACTGTGCAATCTCAGATGGAATGCACAATCTTGATCCAACTGATCGAGAAACCACATTAAATCTAGTAAAGTAGTATGTCATAGAGGACAATTCATTATGAGTACCATTGTAGGGGAAGAAGTAATGATATGCGTCACAGTTACTTCAACGCCATTCAAAGAGGATATACCAATACTTTTTGATTTTAATAAAATTAATGATTGTTGTATATTTTATGATTATTATAAATCAATTTTAAACTCAATTACTTTTTTGTAAAAATTGAATGTTTATTTATTATATTGAGTAACCCTTAAAATATAAATATAATTATAATTATTTTATAAATTTTTGACATTTGTCTAAGGCTATAAGGTTCTTCTTGATTGCAGATAATACTGTTAAGAGTCCTGTTTCATTGAAATTATTGCTTATATTCTATTATCACTTATAAAAAAATAGCTACTACTAATAATATAAAAGATCTAATAGAAATCTCAGATAATTGTGAAAATAATATAAATTTAGAAGCTGAAAAAATAATAAACCAATATTGGGAATTCTTAAATGAAAATTGGAATATTATTCATTACAAATTTAAACATCGTACTGAAATAAATATAAATAAATAATATAGATAGAATCAAAATTGAATTAAAAAATAAGTTAGGATATACTACAGTATTCTTTTTTTTAATATATTGTATTCAAATATTGAATATCCAGGACCATATAATGAAATCGAAAAAGGTTTATTTTTACTATATCATTTAGTTTCAGGTAAATCAGGAAGAGATAATATAAAAAGACATCTACCTTATAGTTCATTTTATGATTTTAATAAGAAATTTTGGATGTTTGAAGAGAATTATATTAGATTAAATAAAATTTTAAATAATTACTATAAAAACATGTTTTCATCTATCTTATTAAGATTATATAGTTCAAGAAAAAATAATCCAGAATTATTTAAACATATTAGGGGGTTTCACGCTTAGGAGTTTCTGCTTTTTAACAGCCCAAAAACCGCATTTCTTCCTCAAGAAATGCACTTTTCTTGCGCTTGTGACTTGCAAATTCTGGGTTGGGATGGAACTATCATCTTTATACGTGTAAGACGCATCGAAATAAATTCTACTCCTTTCTGCTCAATATGACAAACGAATATACCACAAATGCAACCACCACGGTTCATAATGAGACTTCACCTATAGAGAATAAGACACTAACGTTACCTTTCAGTTAAATGAGTTAAAGTTAACTTCGGTATCTTTTGTGTACAAAAGGCCAGCCAAGATCACACTTCAAGTGAAGTATGTGAAGTAATGGTCAACTGGCTTACCATTCGTGAAAACTTCGAGAAGTGGTCAGGCACAGGCGAGCAGTCAGCACCAGGCATAAAAAAGAAAGGAACGCAAACAGCTGCATACACTGAGATGGCCACGGCAATCAATGAGAAAACCGGCGTTGGTTGGGACTGGCAGAAAACGAAAAGCCGTTTCGAAAGTTATAAGAGACGGTATATCAGTACCAAAAGAAAGTCAGAAGCTTCTGGCTTTGGCAGAGAGATCAGCCAAAAAGAACGTAAAAAGGGCATAAAATATATTGTTGACAAACTCATTCATATGTGCCCCTACTTCTATGAGATAGAAACAATCTTTGGCCAAAGGGAGAATATCAGCCTAAGCACAGTTTTGCATACTGGCCTTCCGCCATCGATCTCTGCACATGCATCCACTCTTGTGCCAGCTACTGAGTTACCTGCAGTGGAAACTGCAGTAGCAGCAACAGCAACTGAAGCATTGCCGACGAATCATGTTGTCGACGAAAACGTGCCTTGCTCCTCGTTCTTCGAACAAGCAGATGTCGACAGCGAGACATAAGAAATCACTGTCGACAATTTCGAAGAGTCTATGGAACGATTCTTGGAGCATGCTGCACCCAGTCCGGAGCCCCAGAATGAGGAGGTGAACAGCATTGCTTCCAGCAGGGTAAAAAGCGGCTCTGACGATGACGATGACGACGACGACGACGACGATAATGTGCCACGCGGCAGAAACTTTACTGCCATTTACTCGGTCAATGAAGCCAAACGACGCAAGTTAGAGTCGAAAAAGCTCAAGCTCAAGCATGAGAGACTGCAATTGGAGAAGGCGCGATTTGCAGAACAGAAACGTGCGTCCCAGGCACAAATAGCAGAGCAGAAACGTGCATCCCAGGCATAAGAACAGCAGACTTACGCTAGTGACAGAACCAAGTTTTTCATTGAGCTATTGAAACTTGGAAAGACTACTGACGAAGCCAAACAGATAATTGAAAATGTATACGAGTAGTCACTGGCATTTTATGTATAAACAAAAGTTTATTGTCTAGATGTAAAATCAACTATAATGTTTTTCAGGAGGTCTCTTTTCCCTTCTGCGTCTGAAAGCTGTGATGATGTGCTATGCTCATTGCTTCCAGTATCGTTTTCGGTGTCCGGATCCCATTTTTTATTGCCTCGGAAGAGATAGTTATAGAGAAGACATGTTGCAACGATTATATTGTTTAGCTTTTCGAATTCGTCCTTGGATCTCAGTTGCAATGGGACATTCTTTAAAAAGCGCCACCTTCCTTTCAAGATACCAATCGTATTTTCAACAGCCACCCTACCTGATGCATGCTGGAAGTTGAACGTTTCGTAATCCTTGTGCAGTTGGGCTGTTGGACTGCATTATGGGGTGATCAGACGCGTCGTAAGCCCATATCCAGAATCACCAATTAAATATTCGTTTCCTGAAAAATGGGCATCAGGAAACAGTCCTGGAAGAGATTGGCTGCTAAATACACTTGCGTCGCTCATAGAAACAGGATATCCGCAACAGATGGATCGGATATAGCAGTTATCATCACATATGATCTGAAGATCCATGGAGTAGCGTGATTTGCGGTGGAAGTAAACTTCGCCTTGTTCTTTGGGTCTTTGAGCAAAGTTGACATGGGTGCCATCGACAAAACCGACACACCAGGGGAAGCCGGTCTTGGATTCTATGCGCGCAGCAATCGACTTGCGTTCTTCTTCATCAGGCCAGGACAAAAAATCAGTCAACATTAATTTGTTGATGACTCCAATAACGCGATAAATACATTTGCTGACAAAGCCTGTAGATACACCCCATTCCATCCCAAGTTTCATAGTGGAGTTTCCACTTCTGTTGTGTGCGAGTCTTTGCAGCGTGATGCCTAGCTGCATTTGGACATCTATCTGATGTGCTCTTAGAGCCGCTGAAAATTCGCGCACAAAAAGTTCGGCTAAATATAATTCCGTAAGGAAACACCCACATTTTAGCAAGAAATGATATACAATCTCCGACACTTTTTTTACCATTACTTCATTCGCTAACTGTTAAAAAACCAATATACCAGTTTTGAACGTAAACTAACGTTATCCATATATACTAAATTAACCTACCTGCCTGCAATTATGTTAATAGGCAAGATGATCGCAGTTACCGATTGTATGAAATATTTATATTTACATAGAAAAGGGGAACGAATAGAAAAAAAGCTTATGAAAGAATATATATCAAAGAGGAGTGATAAGATTTAAGTGCTAAGACAAAGAGACGAAGAGAAAGGGAAGGAAAAGAAACAAAATATAGTGAGAAGTCTAGGAAAAAAGATGTATATAATTAAAAAGCATGTTAATGTTACAAAAAGCAAAGATTAATGTACATCAAGGGAGGAATTATTTATGGCACATACTTAAACATTGTGAGTGTACCGCAATACATCTGTATATGTTCTGGGCATTGTACGCCTGCGACGGGATTGTATTACGTTTGCTAAATGTGTTTGGATATCGTCACGTTCAACAGCCATGTCGAAATCTCGCAGCAAAGCGGGAGGCAACGAAACACGGTAACCCGTGGTTTCAACTGAGAAGTCATCAGCTAATTGTTGCATTCTCTCCAACAATTCACGACGTTGCCGTCTGTTTTCTTCCATGCACTGCTCACGCCGCAAAAGATCACGCTCACTATCATTAAGAATGACAGTGTTTTGATCAATCTCGCCAGTTTCAGCTGCTAGTGGTGGTGACTGTTGATGTAATGTTGTTGCTGTATTCACTGCGCTTTCGTCATCGTCGAAGGAGTCGTCTATAGTGATGATAATGGGACTGGTGGGAGTGGTGGTTGTTGGAGCAGGGCCGCCTTCTTCAGGCAATGCCATATCACGAAAGATATTTTCTGCTAACTAAATAATATAGGAATAACGTGTTATGGAATAATGTGTAACTAGTCCATCTCCAAGGGACTCGCTGTCACTCTGTTTTTGCGAAATGGCGAGCCATAAAGCATCCCAAGCATAACTATAAATATCTCTATACAAAAAACTACTATCCAGTGTATAGTGCTGAGATGATACCTTGAGCAACTGTACGGTACCCTAAACAGATAAATCATCGACTTATCGGTTGATAATGTATAGTACTAGCTAAATCACCCATATTGTGATGCAAACAAGCTTGTCAAGATATCAAAAGATCAAGTTTCCAAAGTATTTTCTGCTCTTTTAAGGTAACAGTTTCGGTACACATCACAACACTCTCACATCCTTTTCCCCAAAGGACAAGATCACCGCAGTTTCACTGAAATTGAAGGTAATTGATTCTTTTACAACAAGAGGGTAGCGAGTCCACTGGAGATGCTATAAAAACCAATCTGCTAACAGCAAAATATGAAGAAACTGAACTTACTGGCCTAATACGAATGAATGGGGCAATCGAAACACGTTGGATGAAGTGTCCCCTAGCTGCTATACGACGAAAGCCCGAACGCGACATGAGATGTTTACAGCATAGGAACCGGCTTCTCAGGAAAGCCTTACAGCCGCAAGTCCATGTTACAACTGATGGTATGTACAGTGCATCAGCGTCCACGTTTTCTGCTTTTCTGTAATCCTTGTTCCACTGGCTAACGAAGGATTGTTGCCATCTTGTAGGAGCACGGGAACGGACAATATCACGATTATATTTGTGCCGCAACTCAGGAAAATGCTTATCCATGATAACAAAGACAAGCAAGTCCAAGCGGGCACGGTTGTGGCGGTAGAGGTGGTTGCACTATAAGACCTTCCAATGGCTTCGATAAGCATGGTTGTCTTGCCTGCAGGGATACGATCTGGAATAGCACTGCGCGCCCATTGTTCCAATGCACGTGGTTTATACCAGTTGTTGTAGAGGTAAATCCAAGCATCAATGTTCTGGTTTACTTGGCAATAGTTGTAAACCCGTTCAGCAGCATATTGATGAATTTCATCCGATGTACGTCTATGCACGCCTATATATTTAATGAATCAGCAGTTACATAATTGTTAGGTTACGGTAATTTATGAGGATTTAAAAGACTCGAGTGCATGTTTAACATGGCATTTTACCATCAGGTATCAATGGATGCATATGATAATGCTCAGTCATCATATTAATGATCTCAGTGCGTGCAGGTTTTTGCATTATTGCATTTCTTCTGTCGCGGCCTCCAATTGATGGCACAAAGTCTGTGTCGACGAAAGGGAAATGCTGCTGTGCTTCAAAAGGATCGTATGGTGGTATGTTTGTGCTTCGCGCCTGGCAGAGTTTGCGTTCAACTGATCTTTGTAAGTGCCACAGACATAAACGCAATCGAGCAGGGCCCCACGTGGCTTCGATGGCATTCATTTGAGCTTGATCTTTATCAGAAAACATGAATGTAGGATCAAAGCCGTAATCTTTCAACGAGCGAAAGAACCCTTTGAGCGTCTCGGTTTTGGTGTTTCCAGGGGCAGTTTCAAGAGAGGTATAAAGCAGGTACGCAATCGGAAATCCCACGCCATTTACATTGGCAATAATGCCATACAACTCGGAATTAGCACGATTCGTTTTGAACGTCGAATCAATGCAATACTCTTCAATACATCCACTCATCACCAACAATTGGAAAAAAGGAGTAATGAAACCAAAGGCAACATAATCAAGGGTACGTCTCCAAAAAACCTATTTTTTATTGAACTATATAAGATTCTACTTACACTGGAATATCACTACTAATATTAAGACCTAACGCCAGCTTATAAAGCAAAAACCTAGATCATTGTCAGCAGATATCTGTTTTCTACATACCTCGTAAAAACCTCGACTGTTGTAACGTTCAACAAGCATCCTGGTCGACGTCAACTGGTCATCATGAGGACGATACTGGGATTCAAAGGTGCGGCTCCACCAGTAGTACACTTGCATAGGTGTCACATCACAGTTTCGGAACAGTTGGACAACATGCTGGTACAGAGCTGTCGCATCTGTTTCAAGAGCGTTTTCGGCAATATACGAACGTATATTGGGAGGCACCAAATAACGCTCGATGGTGCGGATGGTGACTCCGTGCTCATCGACGCTGACACCTACGTTCTCATGCTCTTGATGCGCCACCATGAGCTCCACGTAGCCGAGATCTCTTCTAATCGTTCCCTTGATACGACCTCCGCACGTGAATGTAGGCATTCTAACATTCACGCGTCTAAGAAGCTCCTCCGAAATCTGGTTCTGATACGTTTGGGAGCGCGAACAGTACGCAGTGAACGATAGGTTGTTCGATTGCTCTGGATCTGCCACATTCTTCAATATATAGCGGTATCCGTCGCACTTTTGCACCTCTTCTATAATTCTATCAATCATGTCTTCATCAGACATAATTTCCATGATAGAATCAATGGATAGATAGCAATAGAATGGGGTATCCTATAGAGTTCAAGATAAATAAGCAAAAACGTAACTACAGCATTATTTAGGTAGTTGCACTGCAACCATATCCAATTTACACTTACATCGGTACCTGGACCTGTATATTGTTCTTCCAAAAAGTTGAGGTCTACCATTTGGTCGATAGAAATAACTTCAAGGGGTGTATTCCTATGACGACAATCTATACAAGTCCTGTATGGTCTCATTCGACCGAGGTAATCAAGTCCTGGCTTACAGTGGCGACATCTCTTGCAATAATACGATCGACTTTCGTCGAATGCATTGCTAGCGATCGCTTCTTGAACAGTAGGCAAATGAGTTGGGCCAATTGGCAAGGTGGTGTTAGAAATGAGATCCATAGCTAATAACAAGAAAGGAGGGAGAGAGAGAATCAAAACAACCCAGGCCCAGGAATCACTCTATAAACTACTATTGAAACTCATCTAGCATCTATTACTACTTTTGATAAGCCACATATAAAGCTATATGAGCAAAATATCTTATACAAAGTCGCTTTTAGCAACAATTATACATCCAAGAGTTATTGTAGCCTACTGTAAGCTGCATATATTTTTTGAAGACTGTTATTTAATTGTTTGCGATCGTTTTTGACAATTTCATAGTTTTAGAAGAAGAAGGTGCATTTTTACCTATCGGACATATATTTATCCGGCATTTTTGTGCGCGAATTTTCAGTGGCTCCTATGAAACCTATCTATCTGAGCTTCACGCGACTCGCTGTTGAAATCCGGATGGCCCTCAATAAGCTCGAGGAGAGCTTTGAACGATCTTTTGTTCATCCGCACCAACGTTTTGAATTGCTTATCAGGCCATTGCATAAAAAACTCGCGTTTTTCTTGCAGTTTTGGAACGTGACCGCGAGGATTGAGGTATCGATGGCTGCTGATGCCAATGTAAATGCCAAGAAGCTCGTCGCAATCTTC